GCCCGGGCAGCCGGGGCTCTGCAGCCCTGCCGCTCCGAGGCTGATGGGGAGGGCTGCGCCTCCGAGCTCAGAGCCGGTTTCTTTTGTGTCTGGTCTAAGTCCGTGGGCGGAGCAGCGGGGGGACAATTTCCTTGTCCTACTAGCGCATCCAGCTTACCAGTGGGTCCCGTTTGTTTCTAGAGATTGTCGACGTTGCCTCTGGCACGTAAACATTTACAAAAATATTTTCGTTTTCACATTTTCTTACGTTTCTCACAACCAAGGGTTCTAGAGATGAGGGTTATATGTCCCCGGTTAAATAGAAAGAGCAATCCCCGGCATTCTGTGAGAGCCTCGAGACCAAGAACAATGCCTTATTCCTGCATCTTCAGAACAGCAGTTTTATTTGCATCATAAGCGCTAGATACCCGTTGGTGGTTATTTTGAGTTATTTGCATACTTTTTATGTTTCCTTCTCTTACCGTCTGTCATAGTCATCAACTTCTTCCATCTCTTCTCCCCCACTCCCACCTCCAGTTACCTTCATTTTTTTTCCTCCTTAGATCTGCAGTAGGTCTTCTCTGGCATAGTTCAGATGCTTCTAACTTCGTTTTAGAGCCTACACAAAGTAGAGGTTATCTTGAGGCCAAGGGCTTTTTTTCTTAGACTCATGGAATATCCAAGTCAAAGGAGAACCTTTAGGTCCAAAATTCCCGTTTTATGGATGCGAGAACTGAGGCCTAAAGGAACCTAACTGATTTGACCAGGGTCACAGAAGAAATAAAGAGTTTGTTGTTGTTGTTTTGCTTTGTTTTGTTTGTGGTGCTGGGGATTGAACCTAGGACCTCGTACATGCAAGGCCAGCACTCTGCCAACTTAGCTATATCCCTATCCCTTTAAAAAAGAAAAAATAAATAAAAATTATATATATACTATATATATATAGTATCCATCTACTATATATAGTAGATGGATACAATACCTTTTATTTATTCATTTATTTTATGTGGTACTTAGGATCAAACCCAGAGTCTCACACCTGCTAGGCAAGCACTCTACCACAGAGTCATGATCCCAGCCCAGGGTAAGAGCTTTTTGCCACCAATATTTTATTCAAAGATCTCTCTCCAGTTTGAACCTCCACCTACCATCCCAAACATTTTTTCTTTATTATTCAATCGTTTAAAACCCGACACATGGGGGTGGATGGTAGCTCTAGTGCTAAATGCCAGGGAGGTTGAGACAAGAGGATTACAAATTGAAGGCCAGTCTCAGCAATTTAGCGAGGCCCAAAGCAACTTAGTGAGATCCTGTCTCAAAATAAAAAAATAAAAAGGGCTGGGAATTTGACTCAATGGTAAAGTGCCCCTGGGTTCAATTCCTGGTACCAAATCAGCACCTCACACATTTGAGTGTTTCCTCAGAGACAGACTGATCAGAAATTCTACAATAAGCCAAGCAACATCTGTATTTGGTATAGTGGGAAAAGCTTGGTTGCTGCCATGGTAACCAATCTGGTAATCAGAGTACAAATTTCTAATCAGACATTTAACCAGCTAGATGACCTCAAGCAAATTGAAGCCAGATTTAAAGTTAGGTAGTCAGTGTAGTTAGGTAAATCGGGTCTAATATCGAGTAAGATCTAAAATGGAGGCTATGCTGACAATGATTCCGGGGAAACGAGGGACAACTCATGGAATGTTAATGAAGTCCCGAAAAGGCCCTAGGCCAAAGTCCACCCCCCAAAAATGTTAATGGAACCCAGGAAACAGCCCTCAACAGATTTGGAGATAGCCCATCCCAAGAAGTGATAATGAAGTCCTGCCTGCCCAGATTACTTGTTTGGCCCACCTGTGTCCCACCCCTTGGGCCTTCCAACCTACATTCAATCACCAAAACTATAAAAAGGGGAGACAACCGCACTTCCACGGATTCCACCTCTTGGGTCCCCTTCTTCCTCCAGGAGAAGTCTTTTCTGCTGTCCTTTAATAAACTTCTAATTTCTACTCTGACCTTGCCTCCGAGTGCTCTCTGGTGTTATTCTTCAACATTGGGGAAGCAAGGACTTGCTTGGAAGTTAAGGCCAACAGCGGTAACAAAATTACTTTTATCTTCTATATCAGAATCTTTAATATTGGGTAATGTCTACCTCATTGAAGTCTAAGGTTGATGGTAGATTAAATGAGATACTATGCAAAGTATCCCTCCTCTGCTTCTTGGAAATACTAATTTGCTTTCCTCCATGGAGCATTAGAGAAGAAAAGAGTCACTGAATGACAGCAATTTTTTAGATTGGTATGTTGTAGGCAGAATAATGGCCCACCGTAGATGTTCATGTCCTGATCCCTGGAACCTGTGTACATGTTACCTTACAAGGCAAAAGAGACTTTACAGATATGATTAAGTTAGGGATTCTGAGACAGAGAGATTATCCTTGATTGCCTGGTGAGAACAAAGTGATCATAGGAGTCCTTTATTAGTGAAAGAGGAAAACAATAGAATAAGAGGAAATGTGGCAATAGAAGCAGTTTCTGTTCCTTCAGTACACAAAAATCATTCCAAGTTTCTGGCTTCCATTGTTGCCTATGAAAGGTCAGCTGTCAGTGGGTCTACTGTTCTTGGAAGGCAGTTAGTCCTTTTTTTCTGGATGCTTTTAAGATTTTTTTTCTCTTAGACTTCGGTTTTCTACTCTTTCACTATTGTGTTTGAAAGTTAATTGTGTTTTTTATGATGCTTTGGATTCACCAAAGATTTTGAATATAAGGATTGACATAATTCAAGAGTTCTGGAAAAATCTTGGCCATCTTTTCTAATTTTATCCTCTTAAAATAAAGGAATCAGGGGCTGGGGTTGTGACTTACTGGTAAAGCATTCACATGTGCGAGGCCCTAGGTTCCATCCTCAGCACCACACAAAAATAAATAAGTGAAATAAAGGTATTGTGTCCAACTACAACTTAAAAATAAATATTAAAAAAAAATAATAAAGGAATCACTTTAGTTTCCAGAAGAAAAACCTGTAATGTTAATTTCATGTTAACTAGAATTAGAGGTTATGGAACCACTGAAGAAATTTCCCTTTCATGTCATGGAACAAAAGAGTATGAGAGTAACTGTATTCTGGAAAACAAATACATACATAATATGTATATGATGCTGTGTAAAACAAAAAAAAAGAAAAAGAAAAAAAATTCTCAGTTATTACCTCTTCAAATATTGTTTCTGCCCTCCATTTCTATAAATCTAATTAAATATTGTTTTCTTTTTCCTATTTCTCTAATCCTTTTTTTTTTCTTTTTTTGTGGGGATGGGGAGGACAGAGCCTGGATATGTTGCCCTTGTTGGTCAAATGTTTCTCCCACTCAGCCTCCTGAGTACTAGGACCATAAACACTAGTTATTATGATTGGCTATCTTCTAACCTGCCCCATTCCTTTGTCTCCCTATGCTTCTTTTTGGTAGCCTGTTTTTTGATATGTTTGCTAGATTACCGGTTCTCTCTTCTGTGATGTTAATATTTTACCTATTGAGATATTAATGTTGAAATTATTTTTGTAATTTTAGGTTCTAGAATTTCTGTTTTTTTTTTTTTAATTGTGGCTCAGTGATAGAGCGCTTGCCTAGCATGTGTGAGGCACTGAGTTCGAGCCTCAGTACCGTAAAATAAAATAATAAACAAATAAAATAAAGGAATTGTGTCCATCTATGACTAAAAATGTTTTTTTTCAAAAAAACAATATTAAGGTTTATTTCTATAGTATCTAATTCATTGGCAACTTTGTCAGCCTTGGCTTTTATTTTGACTTATTTTGGTTTGCCTTTACTTCCAAGCACTAGCCTAAAAACATGGTTTACCAGGGTCACCACTGTTGGAAGGTTTTAGACCCCATCCATATTTTGTCAAAAATGCAGCTAGCTGTCTCAAGCTATCTTTTGGTGTTTGATAATGCCCTAAGGCAGAATTACTCTTAATGTGTTATGTCCTATTTTCCTTTGCTTCTTGGCCAGGTGATTCATTCACTCATTGTCCTTTTAGCTTTTTGATAATTTTTAACATGTGACTACAGTGTACCTCCTTAGTTGGCAATTTTCAAAAGAATGAAATATTCATGTAAATTACAAAGGAAAATGTGTAATAACAACAACAACAAAAAAAAACCTCTAGCTCTTACTGAGT